AGTGTGCCTTTTCAAATCATGTCCAATCAATTTAATATACCAGAGGTGGACTCCAATCAAGTTGTAGAAACATCTCAAGGATGATGAATGGAAACAGGATGCACCTGACCTCAATTTCGAGTCTCATAGCAAAGGGTCTGAATACTTATGTAAATAAGGTATTTCTGTTTTTTATTTTTTATACATTTGCAAATATTTCTAAAAAACTGTTTTTTCTTTGTCATTATGGGGTATTGTGTGTAGATTGCTGAAATTATTTTTAAAAAAAATCAATTTTAGAATAAGGCTGTAACAAAATGTAGAAAAAGTCAAGAGGTCTGAATTATTTCAGGAGGCACTGTATCTTTCTAAAGCATCTAAAGGGATGTTCCGAGCAAGCAGCCACCTCTGGTATGATCTTGTGAACACACCCATTGAGATAAACGGTATTGAGGTGATTGTAAGACATTTACTCAAATTGTCTCAAGTTCATGCTTTTATTTACAAAGAAGTTGATGGAGTTGAACACGTCCATCTGGAAAAGCCAATGTAGCAAAACAGCTGTGAATGACTTGGTTGTAAAGTAGAAATTGATATATTTGTATTTTATTTCACCTTTATTTAACCAGGTAAACCAGTTGAGAACAAGTTCTCATTTACAACTGCGACCTGGCCAAGATAAAGCAAAGCAGTGCGATAAAAACAACAACACAGAGTTACATATGGGGTAAAACAAAACAAAGTCAAAAATACAACAGAAATAAATATATATACAGTGTGTGCAAATGTAGCAAGTTATGGAGGTAAGGCAATAAATAGGCTATAGTGCAAAATAATTACAATTAGTATTAACACTGGAATGATAGATGTGCAAGAGATGATGTGCAAATAGAGATACTGGGGTACAAATGAGCAAAATAAATAACAATATAGGGATGAGGTAGTTGGGCGGGCTAATTTCAGATGGGCTGTGTACAGGTGCAGTGATCGGTAAGGTGCTCTGACAACTGATGCTTAAAGTTAGTGAGGGAGATAAGTGTCTCCAGCTTCAGAGATTTTTGCAATTTGTTCCAGTCATTGGCAGCAGAGAACTGGAAGGAATGGCGGCCAAAGGAGGTGTTGGCTTTGGGGATGACCAGTGAGATATACCTGCTGGAGCGCAGACTACGGGTGGGTGTTGCTAAGGTGACCAATGAGCTAAGATAAGGCGGGGATTTGCCTAGCAGTGATTTATAGATGGCCTGGAGCCAGTGGGTTTGGCGACGAATATGTAGTGAGGACCAGCCAACAAGAGCGTACAGGTCACAGTGGTGGGTAGTATATGGGGCTTTGGAGACAAAACGGATGGCACTGTGATAGACTACATCCAATTTGCTGAGTAGAGTGTTGGAGGCTATTTTGTAAATGACATCGCCGAAGTCAAGGATCGGTAGGATAGTCAGTTTTACGAGGGCATGTTTGGCAGCATGAGTGAAGGAGGCTTTGTTGCGAAATAGGAAACCGATTCTAGATTTAACTTTGGATTGGAGATTCTTAATGTGAGTCTGGAAGGAGAGTTTACAGTCTAACCAGACACCTAGATATTTGTAGTTGTCCACATACTCTAGGTCAGACCCGTCGAGAGTAGTGATTCTAGTCGGGTGGGCGGGTGCAAGCAGCGTTCGGTTGAAGAGCATGCATTTAGTTTTACTAGTGTTTAAGAGCAGTTGGAGGCTACTGAAGGAGTGTTGTATGGCATTGAAGCTCGTTTGGAGGTTTGTTAACACAGTGTCCAATGAAGGGCCAGATGTATACAAAATGGTGTCGTCTGCATAGAGGTGGATATGAGAGTCACCAGCAGCAAGAGCGACGTCATTGATATACACAGAGAAAAGAGTCGGCCCAAGAATTGAACCCTGTGGCACCCCCATAGAGACTGCCATAGGTCCAGACAACAGGCCCTCCGATTTGACACATTGAACTCTATCTGAGAAGTAGTTGGTGAACCAGGCGAGGCAGTCATTTGAGAAACCAAGGCTATTTAGTCTGCCAATAAGAATGCGGTGGTTGACAGAGTCGAAAGCCTTGGCCAGGTCAATGAAAACGGCTGCACAGTACTGTCTATTATCGATCGCGGTTATAATATCGTTTAGGACCTTGAGCGTGGCTGAAGTGCACCCATGACCAGCTCGGAAACCGGATTGCATAGCGGAGAAGGTACGGTGGGATTCGAAATGGTCGGTGATCTGTTTGTTGACTTGCTTCAAAAACTTTTGAAAGGCAGGGCAGGATGGATATGGGTCTGTAACAGTTTGGATCTAGAGTGTCACCCCCTTTGAAGAGGGGGATGACCGCGGCAGCTTTCCAATCTCTGGGGATCTCAGACGTTATGAAAGAGAGGTTGAACAGGCTAGTAATAGGGGTTGCGACAATTTCGGCGGCTAGTTTTAGAAAGAAAGGGTCCAGATTGTCTAGCCCAGATATATCTATACTCCTCAATGTAAACCATCCAAGGCATGCCAGGAATATCAAGTCAGCTCTTGTCATGATGCAACTGTAGGGGCAATGGAACTATTTTGATGTTCCAGTCTCTTTGAAACTATTCAATACTCTCGTTGTGCCTTAGAGGCAAATATGCTCCACACGCCATCAGAAAACTATTTTGATGTCCATCCTCTGTTCTCCTCTCTCTCTCTCTCTCTCTCTCTCTCTCTCTCTCTCTCTCTCTCTCTCTCTCTCTCTCTCTCTCTCTCTCTCTCTCTCTCTCTCTCTCTCTCTCTCTCTCTCTCTCTCTCTCTCTCTCTCTCTCTCTCTCTCTCAGCATCCAACAAACTCAGAGCAAGTAGCAGCCCACTTCCCATTGTCATGGCAACAGCATGTGAATGTATTGGGCCGTAGGAGCAGACTGTAGAGTGGATGTAGGAGTGCTGCATTGGAAGCCACAGCTCTATCTCCTGAGCCAGCTGTGAGGTAGGAGGGGGACAACACAGGGCTTTGGATGGGGTTTATGGACTCATTAATCAGGCTCTGTTTTACAGGAAGGTTGAGATGACAGTATGCCATTGATGTCTCTTCATTCTGTCATGTATTCATTTTGACTTCATGTATGTAGTCATGCAGATATGGTTGTGTGGTTTATGTGAAATGTTTTCATTTTTATTGTTCAAATTAGTATCTATTTATTCAAGGAAGTCGAGGGTCTCTGTCACGCTACAGTATGTGCACGTCTCTCTCTCTGTCTATCTCTGTCTCTCTCTCTCTATCTCTGTCTCTCTCTCTCTATCTCTCTCTCTCTCTCTATCTCTGTCTATCTGTCTCTCTCTCTCTCTATCTCTCTGTCTCTCTCTCTCTATCTCTGTCTCTCTCTGTCTCTCTCTCTCTATCTCTGTCTATCTGTCTCTCTCTATCTCTATCTCTGTCTATCTGTCTCTCTCTCTCTCTATCTCTCTGTCTCTAGCCATCTATCTGGAAAGGTAGAACATGGACATGACTATGTCAGCAAGCCCTCTATTTTAAGCATTATTGTTATTGTGTGTGTGTGTGTGTGTGTGTGTGTATATATATGTGTGTGTGTGCGTTGTGAGAGGGTGTGTGTCTGCATGCATGCATGCATATGTGGGTGCGTGCATCTGTGTGTGCAAGCATGTGTGTGTATGAATGTGTGCATGCATGTGTGTGAGTGCAAGCGAAGTGTATGTTCTTTTTGTGTGTGTGTATGTATATAACATCTGTTTTGTTAAAGGAAAGGGAATAGGACTGATCATTTCTTCATCCAGGGAACCCAAAGGCTGTGGTGTTTGTTATGCTGATGAATGCAGAGAAAACTCTCCTTTGACTGTCAGTGGTGGAGTGTGCAGCATATCTAAATGGCAACTTGACCCATGCAAAAACACACTCTTTGACGACATCATAACCCACACACACCATTTAGAAGAAGTGTTAAAAATGGTATTCTTTAAGGCAGAATATGTTGTTCAGAGAGTTGTCAAGAGAGAAAGCAGGTGATAGAGCGGAAATGAAAATGGAAGGAAAAAGGGATTTTGGAATGAAAGGAATGAAGGAAATTCATAACAACTACAGGTTTAGTCCAGGAATGAAAGAGGGAGGATTCCATGAGCAGCTGTATGCAACAGTCTGCATCCCACTAATTATCCCAATAGCAGGTGCCCTCTCCAACAATGAAAGAGGAGCATTTTCCCAAGAAACAGCATTGACCGTCTTCATTGGCTAATTTCATTCACACTCTCTCTGACTGTGTTGAGACTTAAGCAAGTCTTCCATCATTGGATGTGTAGATCTCAAAGCCACATTCATCATACTAGCCCTGAAACTATTACTACAATACAAAAATGATGCATTTACCATCTCTTTATTCCTCTTAATTGATCTAATTTTTTATGTCAATCTAACATCAAAATGTTCATTTCTTCCTGGACACAACCTTTCCCTTTTATCAATGGCCATGGATTTTTTTGGCATGATCACTGGAATAGCTTTTCCAATCTGTCAATTATTCTTCAATAGTTTGTTCATCCCATTCAGTGTAGATGGCGACAAACCAGGCATCATGCAGTGTTGATCTAATCTGGGGTTAAAATAAGTGTTTTTGTGATCTGTATCTGGATGACCAGGTAGCAGTTGCCATGGTAAACACCCACTCTTCCTTTATCAAGCACAAGACCAAGATAGGCAGAGATATATTCTGAAGTTCTTCCTTCTCTCTAGCCACGTCCCTCTCGCCCTCTCCCACTCTCACTCTCTTTCTCTCTTTACATACAGTATCCACATACTCAAAGGACTATGGTTTGATTAAAAAGGGAAATGAACAAAAGACAGAATTGCCTATATTGGTTTTATTTCTGAAACCAAGACAAACACCCCACTGTGCTGTCACTCACACAACTTGCTTCTACTCTCTTCTCATCCCCTTAGGTAACATCTAGCTGAATGAATTGTGAAACTCTGTTCTCTAAAGAGGACCCATCTCTACTCAGCCAAACCGCCTGAGATCTGCTTGGTGTCTCAGGCCTGTCTCTGATGTCATGGAGCACAGGGCCCTGATGTGTACCAGTCAGGCCTGGAAGGGGCCCAAAGGCTCCACCTTCTCCCCCAACTGGGACAACACATCATACCAACCAACCATCATGATGTCCCCTTGTCCTGACGTGGTCAAGTCCCCATGCCAGCATGCTGCCAAGATATGCCACCCCCCAGAAGCCTCTGTGACCTCCCAGTTCCAGCAGGTTGGCCCCCACGCCTCAACCTCAACTGGGTTGTCTGCCATGGCTAACACTGCCAGTAGAAGAGGTGAAAGGGAGTGTTATATAGTCAACCCCATTAAAAATGAGGAGACGGCCCTGCCAGCACACAACCCTGAGTTTCGCAGACGCTCCTTCTCCGCAGCCACTGCCTCAAACTCAATCCCTTCCAGAAACAGATGTGACAGCTACGACCACCGATGCCCTGACAACAGCTCAGAGGACATTAGCAGAGGCGACGCCTCTCCGTTGAGCCCAGACGTCTCCCCTGATCACGGTGGTCCACGGTCGCGGTCCCGCAGCATCATCCTGAGGAAGACGAAGAGGAGGCCGGCGCCACCAACCCGTAGCGTGTCCCTCAGGAGAGACTCCGCCTCCCAGCTCAGAGACAACAGGACCAAGAGCCTCTACATGGACAGGGACACAGCTACCCAGGACTCCTTCCTGCCTGACCTCATCCTCATCTCCACACCCAGGACAGAGGAGGAGCTGGGCCTGGAGCAGTCCCCTGCTCAGCCTGTACAGGCTCTGGTTGGGCCACCAGTCAACAACAATGGGCAGCTAGGTGAAGTAAGATCTACTGACCCCTGCTCTTCCATGTCAAGCTCAGGTCCTGCTATGGGTATTACTGGAAATGAGGACAAAAAAGCCCCCAGCAGGTCAGAATCAGTCAGACCCCCTCCCCCCTTGCGACACCCTCCGTCTCTAATTTGTAAACAGTCCCCTTTCCAACCACCTGCCCCAGACTCCCCTTCCAGTGACCAGTCCAACTCTCAGTGTGAGACTTCTCCCCCTCCTATCCTCATGTCTTCCATCACTGGACCCTCCCCCCTGGGCTGCAGGATGCGGCCCAAGTCCTCCACCTCACCCACCTCCCCCAGAGCCAGGACCAGCAGGCTGCGGCTGTCCCTGGAGTTGCCAGGGGTCGTCCCTCTCCCTGACCCGACGTCGGTCAAATCCAAAGCCACCCGGCGTCACTCCGAGTCCTCTGGCACTACCAGACCCAGACAGAGGCTGAGCTCCAGCATGATGGTGATGCCTGTGGTGACCCAGGAGGATCTCAGCAATGTGCGTTTACGTTCTGTCAGCAGCTCAGACTCTGACAAAGGCCTGGAGGGCTCACCTGAAGTCATCAGGGAGGAGGAGCAGGAACAGGAACAGGAGCTGGAGAGCTGCCCACTGGTCCACCACAGTCCTAAAGCTAAACCACCTGTTGCTGCTAAGCCACCTGCACATAAATGGCCACCGATACATATGGTAAAGTCCTCCTCAGTCTCTACACAGTTCTCAGAGACCCTTCCAGCCTCACCAAGAGAGAGCCAAGGGAATATGTTTATGGTGGAAAGAAGAGCGAAGCCTAAGAGGTCGCACCAGCCTCCTTGTGTTGCCAGTGATGGGGTTATGTTTCAGAGGCAGCAAGCTGTAGACAAGCAACAGTATGAAGTGACTGACTCACACCCACCACCCGCCTCCTACCATTCAGAGACCAGGGACGTGAGAAGGACCTCTCCCACCAGCACCACATCTCGTCAAGCTGAATTAGATAGGAAGAAGAAGTTGGTTCCCCCTCCAGTCGCAAAGAAACCTGATGTCCTCTTCATGCCATCTATCAGCTCACTGGGACAGGAGAGCACCAGGAGCCATGTCTGGTCTGGGCTCAGTGGTGCTTACCAGGTTCCTGCCAGTGCATACCAGCCTCCTACCACTGGTTACCAGGTTCCTGCCAGTTCATACCAGCCTCCTACCACTGGTTACCAGGTTCCTGCCAGTGGTTATCAGTTTCCTGCCAGCGCTTACCAGCCTCCTGCCAGTGCTTACCAGCCTCCTGCCAGTGCTTACCAGCCTCCTGCCAGTGCTTACCAGCCTCCTGCCAGTGCTTACCAGCCTCCTGCCAGTGCTTACCAGCCTCCTGCCAGTGTTTACAGAGACAGAGACTTTACTGGACAAGATTGCAACCATCACAGGATAAGAGACGGTATTCTTCAATTTTATAAGAACTCACTCACACTGTTTTGAACTCTCTGCATGCAGTCTGTAACATCTGTAACCATCATCTGTAACATTCTTTATTGTATGTTGTTAAAATTGAATCAACGTGTACGCATACTATGTAGATGGCACGAGTTAGCTCTTGAACTAAAGTATTTTCATCCCAAATGGAAATGATAGTGTTCTATTTTTTCCTAGATGAGAACAGTGAAGAGAGGAAGACAATGCCTCAGATGAGAACACTATGCCTCAGCGAGCAGGAGGAGGAAGTGTTTGACCACAACTCCTCACAACCAACTACTGAGGACCTATTCACCATCATACACAGGTAATGGGACTTACTTTCCCCCAAAATAGAATAGTCACCGACACACAAAACAAACTACCCGCGTTACGTAAGTAACGGGACCTGTCCATTTTCATGCACACTAAATTAGTTAAATAATTCCATCCAACAAATAAACAAGCATTAACACACTTTCCAAAAAAGTATATTGTCAGAAATATTTCATCTTTAAGTTGTTTCTCAAAGGTCTTGTCTTCATCACAAGTGTATTAAATATGCCTACTTTCTGGACTCCCTGGTTTTGTAAAGGTCAAAGAAGAAACTCCTGGGTGGTAAAGAAACAGCTGACAGCGCGGGGAGCAGGCAGGGTTACGGATCCCCCAGTAAAGGCATCCAGAGGGATGTCCAGAAGTCAACCTCCAAAAATGACAACTTCATGGCTTTTCTGCAGAGGAGGAGGAGCAATAAACCAAGCTCTGGGGAGAGACTGTCAGCCTCTGAACTACTGAAGAATACCAAACCATTGGCCGGCCAACTGTAGAGCGTCAAACAACTCCAACGTTTATGTTTCTCAATGTGTTACAAACACTTTTCACTCAATATGGGGCATGCAAGTATTGTGGACAATCAGGGACTGAAGGAAAAGGCTATTGTTTATATTGCTTTACGTGCTACAGTACAACGGCAACTTGTTTCTGTGACGGAAATACAGCTTATAGAGGTCATGTCTAACTGTAAATACGACAGTGTTGGCCAGCTGTTTTTTGCTTATGAGCTAAGACAATCTATCATGTCAATACATTTTTCTTGCCTTGACTTGTGATGCCTACAACATTTGTTTTTGAGCTGATAACGTTTGTGCTTTTGGTCATGTGTCGCTCAGAAATAAAACAAAGCTGCTTGTGTGTCTGTGACAGATCATTAGTATGCGTCTGACCTAACCCACTGCTGCCCAAACCTTATTCACTCTGACAAAGTAACGGATGAGCATGATTGCTGTTTTATTGACTGGTTGTTCACCTTATGCAAGTTCATCCAGTGTCATGATTATTGAATTGATATAAATCCAAGATAATGTATGTTCAAGAACCAATGTTTTCCCCTGAAACAATTCCCTATCACAATTAAATTACATTCAAAATTGGTACCTTACTTACTGTACATAGGTTTGTGAAAGAGCAGTTCTTAGGCACTTAAGTGGGGGGGTCGTTAAACATTCAAGCCAAGCATGGGGACTCTGAGCATGAGGGGTGTTACTGAGAGTGTTGGAGATAGATAGAAGGGTTTTCATATAATCCACAGCTCAGCTGCCCTAGGTCTGTAATGCGTCACTCCTTCTGATACTATGCCTGAGTGGATTATTAGTGTTCACTACTTCACTCTCACTACTAAGGTCCACTCTGAGTTTCACATTCAACATGATTTTCCAGTTCAGTGTTATGGATCGTCTCATCGCTGGATTTAAGAGACCTTAGTGTTCCAGAAGGGGAGAAGTTGTGCTAAAATGGTAAGGATGATGGTGCACCTGCCAAATACAAGTTTGTATAACAATGTCGACTAGCTGCTATGTTGTGGGATAGAAGGGCTGCTTTCTTTTTAGAGTTAGTGTACACACACATATACACACACACACACATTTGGTGGGAAAGGCTGAAGCAGATATAACACAAGATGAATCTTCTTTCTGTTCCTCCGATGTCTCTCCTAAAGAATTATAACTTTGTTGAAAAGATTGTTACACAGTAATTCCAACCACAACTAATATGTGTGACTGCGTTGGATTCAATGAGATCTTCCAATGGCTTTCAATAGGATAGCTATGTAATAAGGAGTCGTGTTCATTTTTATGTCAAATAAACTATCATAAGGTCAATTGCATGATTAAACGAGCCAGGTTTAAAATGTGAATTTAGTTTGTTTCTGTCTCTAATCACAATTCTTACACATTTAACTTGAACAACAAGTATGGTTCTGTTGAGGATTAGACAGGTGATTGTTATGTGACGGTGTTATTAGGCAGGTACCGATGGGGACAGACAGAGGGTTATTTCTATCTCCACTCCCTGTCTGCCATGATTGGATTATCACCACACATGATGAATGATCATCCCATTGGAGAAAATAAACCCAGACATACAGTATCTGTCATCATACCTTTTTATTTCACAGGACGTTGGGCCTTTTGGGGGAAGGACAGCGTTTGAGGGATAGTGGATTGTGGGATCTGCTGGAGGAGGCATCTTGCAATGCTCCGGCAGCTTTACCAGCTTCAGAGTTCACTGCATGAGTGGGCATCAACCTATCTGACAACCCCAGTCCTCACAGAAGATAAGTTCCCCTCCCCTCCCCATGGAGCCTGGCTGCTGTGGTTCCTGCTGGCATCCCTAAGTCTGCCCTGTGTGGCACGATCTTCTTCTACTGCGTTCAAGGTAGGGGTGGTAGGACCGTGGAAATGTGACCCTCTGTTTGCTAAGGCACTGCCCCAGACAGCAGCGCAGCTAGCTGTGGA